ATTAAAGAACTGGATATCAATCATCAGTTGCCATTGGAGTTTGATGATAAAAAGATTCCAACCATTGAAGATGCATTGATGGTATGTTCTGGATTCGTGATGATCATCTCCACCTCATTCAGAGTGAAAATACTAGAAGAAAAGAATACGAAAAGAAAAATTATCTTCTTCTACTTTTTACTTCTTATAAATACATGCTGTTTATCTTGTCGACCTTATTAGTTTGGCTGTATTAAATATCACTCGAGTAAATTGTCATGGATGTGTACTATCTACATAATGTGCTTTTTATTCATTTCCTCTTGAACTTTTTGACATGTTGTTCTCTGATTTTGGTTTGAATTCATGTTATATAGTTGATATCAGGTTCTGTTCGGCAAGTAATTCTGGATGCTAAAGTTGGGCCTCCATCATATGAAAAAGGGCTTGCAAAGGATATTCTTTACATCGTAAGTTTGTTTTCCTTTACCCCTTTATTTATATGAAATTAAACATGAAGTATGATTCATATGAATAGTTCTCAAAACATGCTTGATGTATTTTATCTTTTCTATTGTCATGGAGAAAATGCTAAACTTTTGTTCCCTGTTACAGTTGGTGTTTACTTATTAAGGAGACTAATGGAATTTTAGCCTATGTTTGGTGGGAGGGAAGGAAGAGGGAGGGAGCGCTTGAGAGGAGGGATGGGAAAAGCTTACTTTGTTTGGTAGGAGGGAGAGGAAGAGAGGAAGGATTAGGCTTCCCTTTGGGTCCGCCATTTTGCTTCCATCCAAACGTCGGAGGAAGATGAGAGAGAAAAATTGATACTTGTTAGATAATATAAAATAATGTTATTAACCTGATTTAAATGTTAACTTAAATATTTAGGATTTGGTGGTAAAATAATAACATCCCATTCCTTCCCCTCCATCCAACCAAACCAAAGAAGGGATAGACACCTTCCCTTCCTTAGGGAAGGCTCATCCATCCCTCCTCTCCCTTTCATCCATTTTTCCGTCCCTCATACTAAATGGAGCTTTAGCGAGAAAGGAAAAGAACTAAATATTCTTTAAATACGTTTGAAGAAAGCCTATTATAAGCCCTTTAAAAATATAAAATGGTGGGTGCAAGAAAGCAAAGGATTTATAAATAGATATTTTGATAGAGGGCATGTATGATGTAGTTGTGACTATAGTATGAAAGCTGTAGGAAAAATAAGTGAATTTTTAATCAACATACATTTTCATTAGGAACCAAGGCTCCCTATGTAGGATGATGTTCCATGTTGTATGCTATTTGTTGATGTATTGTTTTAATTGATGAAGTTAATGTAAAGAAGAGAAAACGAGCCACAATAGATTTTTCCCTTTGGTTCTCATTACAATTTATAATACAAGATTTGCCAAACAAAGTGGCTACAATCAAGGAGTAGTAATTACAGCTGCTATCTAAAAGGTAAGTCAACTAATCTAATCCCATAATTACAGCTACTTTATTTAGGGTTAGTCAATGCTAGCTAATATTATCCCTAATTGTAAGGCATAATTATTGTCACTATTTACACCCATAATTATTGTCACTATTTACACCCCAAACAAAGTAAGCTTTAAGATAAGATCATAAGAATGAATTACATTGAATTTTGAACTCTAGCGAAACAAAATGTAATTGATAAGCGCAGGTGCAGAACCCAAGACATTGATAGTAGAGTTAGGCAGTCCTAAAATAGATTTGGAGGGGAGTAAATAGATCTTGTCCAATTTTAACTTACAATAAATTATTTCTAACTAATCAATTTTATTTAAAACGTAGAAATATTTGGTTTTGGGAGGATTTGTGGTGTGGAGATCGCACCTCAGCATGTTCTTTCCCCAGACTTTTTAGGATTGCGGCTAATAGGCATGCCTCGGTGGCTGACTGCTATCGCCTCGATAGCGGGAGACTTGGGACATGCTTTTTCAGCGATCCTTTCAGGACTGGGAGATGCATGACATCTTTGGTTTCTTAGAGTTTTTGTACAACCAGGTGATCCGTGGAGGAGGTAGGGATTCTCTTGTTTGGATTCCTTCTTCTAGGGGAATGTTTAGTGTGAGATCTTTCTTTAGATGCCTTTTGGACCCAGCTGGGTCGGTAGTCCCTTGGAAGGCATTGTGGCGAACTAAGGCGCCGTTGAAAGTGGCATTCTTTGCTTGGACGGTCGTGTGGTAAAATATTGACGCAGGATAATTCGAGGAGAAATCATATCACGGTAAATTGGTGATAATTCGAGGAGAAATCATATCACGGTAAATTGGTGTTGCATGTGTAAGTGTAATGGAGAGTTGGTTGACCATCTTCTTTTGCATTGTCCAGTAGCGGTTGGTTGTTGGAATCTCTTGTTAGGCCTATTTGGAGTTTACTAGGTCATGCCTAGATCTACGAGAGGTCTAATGGACATCTGGAGAGGGGGTTGGGTGGGACCATAGGCTCGAGGGTTTTGAAGGATGGCGCCCCTATGTCTTTGGTGGTGTCTGTGGAGGGAGCGGAATAGAAGATCCTTTGAAGGAGAGGACTCTTCGGTCATTGTTCTCAAATGTTCTGTTATTAGCTGTCTCTTTTTTTGGGGTTCAGGTAGACTATGTTCTTCTGCTGAGGAGACTATTGAGTTTTTGTCTTCCCTGGGCCTTAGGGTACCCAGGTTTTTTGTGGTTTTGTAAAATAAATAAATCATGCAACTACACAGGAACACACAATTTTACATGGAAACCCAAACAGGAAAAACCACAGGACGTAGTCCAGGAAAACTAAATCCATTATGAAAAAGAACTATTGAAACCAGGTTAGCAGTATTCCAAACCCTGAAACACCCAATTCTATTGACACAGATTGATCCACCAAACTCTTCTCGAGTCTTCAAGCACACAATCCACTCCACTGCGTTCACTCCTCACATTGCTTCACCATTGATTCAGTCTCAGCCTCCTAATCGTCCAGTTCAGTCTGTGAGCAATGTATTGAATATGGTGTTGAACTCTTCAAAAAAATTTCTAAATGGAGGAAATTTTATAGATATAAACAATATGATACAAAAGAAAAAATGAGGGCATACCCCATAACAAGAACATCATAACAAGAAAAAAAAACCAAGGATAGACCCTTGGAATAGATGCACCTAACAAAAACAGTGCATCAAAGAATGTCTTGAAGACCTACAACACAACTTTCACTCAGATAATAGGATCTCTATGCCTAGAAAGATGGAGTCTTTCATTCCTCTCCATCCAAGGGTAGTATAAAGTAGCAGTGAACATGATCTTAAACAGATTGTGTGTGCAGTTTTTTGATGCGAACTTCTGGGAGTAATACATGGCCAGCTCTTGAATGATAGCGTATGTTTGCAAATTGGCTTTGCAAATATCTGATAACCCAGCCCGAACCTGCCTTGAGTAATCACAACAGCAAAAAATATTGACATAGGACAAGTAACCCGAAAGAAAGAAAGGGATGAGAAAATAGAAGAATAGATAGAATAGAAGAAGGGGATGAGAAAATAGACGAAAGGGGGTGAGAACAGAGTGAATAGATAGGCAGGATAGACTGAATGGGTGAGAAAAGCAAGAACAAAAATGAGAGAAACAATAGAACACAGAAAGAGACTCAAAGAAAATGATAATCAATATTCTCCAAAACTGAATTCTCATATTACAAAGGAGCCTTTCTATAGGCAAAATCATAACAAAACCCTAGATAATAAAATCCTAAAATATCCTTAAAATTAAAACATTACTAAAAATAACCATAAGCATAAGTAAAACCCTAATTTACTAAAATCCTTAATTTTATCTCTCTTTCCCTCTTCTCCAAAAGTAATGTTGGAACACATGCAGCTCATGTGTGCGAATCACACCCCGTTCCCCATCAATTCTCCTCGGCTAAGAAGAACTCTTCTCCGAAGAGTTAAGCGGAAAGTACTGCTCAAAATAGCTCGTATTAACATGGCAAAACTCAACTGTAATCCATGAGACGTCTGAAACTGGACAATACATCCATTGTGACTCACTTTGACCATCAATAATACCCGTAATCCAATTCCAAGGCCAGAGCTCACATGGTGGGAGGACAACTGTTGCTGTTGAAGAAAATGTAATTCCGCATGTAGAAACACAAGCTAACAACACAAGAGGCTCAAAGGAACCTCGGTTAGGCCTCAAATACTCCACATGAAAAATTGGACTAATACTTGTATCTGTTGACAAGTCAAATAAATATGCATTAGGTCCAAACTTATTAGTGATGTGGAAATGTTGAATGCCTTGGGATTCCAATGAATTGAAGGAGTGGTGGTTGTGGTAAACAAATTATAAGATAATCTTCTTCCAAGACTTTATGATTCCTATGATGACCGTATGCAATAAATTTATAATTTTTATTACTCAAAATAATTTTTCGTCTTATATCGGCATGAAGCTCATGGACATACTCGACAAAGGAGTCACATATTTTGAATGAACAAGAATGTGGAGGCAGCAAAATAAAGTCACTGGGCTGGCCAAGGAAAATCCCTTATATAATCCCAAAAGAACCATTTCTAACGGACCAATTGACCAAGATATTATATGCAAACTGCACGATAGACATCAAGTCCCAAGTGTCAAGGCGTACTATTTCACTATAACTAACCAACTTTCCTAGACCTTGGCAGACAATCCCAATTTTCTTATCAGTTTGAGGACAACATGCAAAGGGAAAATTCAAATTGGTACCTAAAGATGTCCAAAGTGTTGTCCAAAATTGGCTTTTGTATTTAAAATCCCTATCTGAAACCATAGAAGTGTTTTGAGTCATGAATGTTAACATCCTCAACAGGATTATCTGAAATGGAATGATGTAGGACATTAGATTCGGGTGGTTGAGACTTAAAACACATTTTCAGATGGAACATGGGAAATTTCCTTAGCCACTCCTTTGGCTAGCATGATTTCATCAACACAAGGTTGGGGAGAAGGCCTATATTGTGCTTTAGAGTCCCTTTCTAATGGCTTTGCAGGATTTAACTTGATATTTCTACCATGATACTTAAAGCTATAGGTGTTCTCTCTGCAACAATGAGTTACACTTAAATCACAAATCCATGGGTAACCAAGTACTACATGGGCTACTTCCTTAGGTAGGACGTCACACCATATTTTATCAAAATAGTCACCCATTTGGACGGGAACCAAACATCTCTCTATGACTGTCAAGGAGGTCCCATTGACCCAGGCTATCTTATAGGATTGTGGGTGAGGCTTGGGTTGAAGTCTCATTCTTAGAACAGCTGATTTAGACACTGCATTTATAGAACTTCCTTTGTCAATGATGATTTGACAAACTTTTTCCATACATTTGACAAATGTACAAAACATGTTGGTATGCTTCCAATCATTTTTTCCTAGGAGAGGAGATGGAATGCATGCCAAAGCGTTGTTTTGAGTATTGCCTTTTTGATTTCTTGTTTGGTTAGGGAATGGTCCAATTTTATTCTCCACATCTAAGTACTTAGGTGGAGGATACCTACATTCTAAGACTTGATGCGATTGAACAATTGGAGTTTTCATAAGATCATTGGTTCGACATTCTCTAAATTTGGTTTCTGTCATTTATTAGGTACAAAATGCCAACACAAGACTCAAATTAGATTGAATAAATTTAAATAACAAATAATTCCAAATGCTCACACAAGAATAGAAATGCAGAAGGTAAATCATGTGAATATTGCAGACTAATACAGGAAAACTGGCAAAAGGTGAAAAATTGGGTGCAGTATTGGTGATGGTAGAATTTAAAGAGCAGGGTAGCAGAAGGTCAGTCAGCACAAAAATTATTCTAATTCAAGCAAGAACCTTTTGCAAATTTATTGACTTAATAAACAGATAAAAGTACCATGAACAATTTTCTAGGAAGCATGTGTACCTTTACCAAAGTATGAAGTAGCTATCCGAACAAAGAAGGCTCCAAAGTTGCTCCAAAGGCTGAAGTAGGTCGATCCAGTTGAAATTAATTTTCTGATTGTTTCTGTATTTATTATTATTATTTTTTCCCTGGTCTACTGCTGAACACTGTTGAACCAGTCCTGGACAGATTCTACTCTTTTTCTGATTCTGGGACTGAACTGGGCATGCAACTATATCCAAACAGGGCTGAACTGATTTAAATAGCTGGGTTCTGACTTCTGATCTGGTAAAATAATAGCCTGAATGAACTTGGACTGGGCCAAGAAATATAATCTGGTTTGGATCCAAGTCTGGGCTTCTAAATTTTTTTCTTCCTTTCTGGATCACTGTTGTACTGGGCTGGGCCTGTTGTGAAGCTGGGCTGTGATTCAAGTTGTGCTTCCTAGACCGGTCAAATCTGACTTTAATTTTGGATTGGGTCCAGTTGTAAGTTGAATCTTTTTGAAAATACCCCACATCTGAACTTTCCAAACCTTGTGGATAATCTAAAGTTGACTTTCCAAAATTAATAGCACTGAAATTTTGGTGACAATATTGCAATGATCCAAAGTTGACTTTCCAAAATCCGTCACGCTGAAATTTTGGTGAATAAATATTCCAAAGTTGACTTTCCAGAATCAGTAGTGAAGATAATGCTGAAATCTAGGTGACAGTTGCAATAGAGGGCACAAAGTTCTTGGCTGAAGTTAGACTTACGAGCTACGCAAGGCTTGGATGACATGATGATGGTAGCAGTGACGGCGAGAGAAAACTCCGCCAAGACTACTGCGACTGATTTCCGGCGACGGCTATTGTTGATGACGACAATCACACAAAGATTTCCGATGGCGAGGACTAGAATCGTGGATCTGTTTTATTTTTTATTTTTTGGCTTGGTTGGGCTTAGGGTTGATGTTGGGATTGGTGTTAGAGTTTGTAGACGGGTTGTGTTTGATGACTGGTGTGGGTTACGGTTGTTTTGTTTGTGGTGGATGGGTGGCAGTGGTGGTTGTGAAGTACTGACTACTGACAGTACGCTTGTTTGGGTCGTGCAGTAACAGTAATTGATGGATGGGGTTTTGTGTTTTGTTGATTGTACGGCTGTGGTTGGTTATTGAAGAGTAACAGTTGTCATGAACACTAACAAAATGCTTGGGACTTTGCTCTGAACTTAACCTTGATTGTTTTGTTCCGATACCAATTGACGTAGGACAAGTAACCAGAAAGAAAGAAAGGGATGAGAAAATAGAAGAATAGATAGACTAGAAGAAGGGGATGAGAAAATAGATGAAGGGGGGCATAGTGAATAGATAGGCAGGATAGACTGAATGGGTGAGGAAAGTAAGAACAAAAATGAGAGAAACAATAGAACACAGAGAGGGACTCAAAGACTCAAAGAAAACGATAATCAATATTCTCCAAAACTGAATTCTCATATTACAAAGGAGCCTCTATATAAGCAAAATCATAACAAAACCGATAATGAAATCCTAAAATATCCTTAAAATTAAAACATTACTAAAAATAACCATAAGCAAAAGTAAAACCCTAATTTACTAAAATCTTTAATTTTATTTCTCTTTCCCTCTTCTCCAAAAGTAACATTGGAACACGTGCATCTCATGTGTGCACACCTCGTTCCCCATCAAATATGGTCAAGAGTCTCTTCACCTTTCAAACACAATACACATCTTGATGCCAAAGAAATTCCTCTGTGCTGTAAATAGGCACATGAAATCAAAGCATTCTGCAATACCAGAGTAGTATGAATCGACCAACTTAGCCTATCACCATTCCAGCACAAGTTAATCCAGAAAACCCCTTGCCACTTTACTCTGCAAGGTGCCCAAGCAGCCTTGAATGTTAGTCCAGAAGTTTGCCACAGCATCTGATCACATCCTCCATGTATTTTATACTTGAGAAATAATTGTAGCACCTCTTGGTCTTCAAATTTAGAGGTAACCCATTGCTGGTCTTCAATAAACTCACTTAAGGTCACAGTAGAAATATAAAATGAAGAAAAATGATAGAATTGTGTAAAGGCTTGAATGATATCATCACTCATTCACAACTCAAGTATTTATAGATAAAAAGAGCACATGCTCGTATTACAAGAAAGGCAATTAAATCAAATCTAAATCAAATCATATAGCATATTCTATAGCACAATTAAATCTTTGCTAATACGGTAAGTCATTTCATAAATCATGGCTATCATATCTGCTAACACTCCCCCCAAGTTGGTGCGTGGATATCTGAAACGCCCAACTTAGATAATGCATTCTCAGCCCTTTGTAAGAATGTTTGCAAGCTGCTGAGACAAATGGAGTACGCAAATTCAATTTGTAGTGCGCAATAATAGATGTCTACACACCAATTTCTAAAAAAGATAGAATGCTAAAAAAAATATTGATGCAACTCTAGAACTCACAAAAAAGCTCTCTGTATGTATATGAGTTGATATGTATTCTGCCCTAGTATGGTATATTTATAGGAAAAATAGAAGCATAGAGAGAATAGGGTTGGTAGTGTTTTAAACCAGAATGGAAAGTGCTTTTCCGCATGGTTTGACGTTACTCCAAAGACCCTCGATCGACAATCAATCAAAGTCTGCTGCAGTATTTTTATACCTATAAACTAGAAATTAAAGCAAAAGTTACAGTCCAATTTTGTTCTACAAAATTTGCCAACCTAATTCTTATTGACCTAAAATTAAGAATTGCCTTGTATGGGCTAAAGTGACAGTCTAATGAATTTTGCAGGTTGAGAGAACACAATGTAAGAATTGCCTTGTATGGGCTAAAAGTGACAGTTTAGCAATGGATGTAATGAAGCTGTCTTCAGATGTTACCGTAAGCATTTCAATTGGTTTTTCCCATTTTTACCTCTTCAAAATTTTCGTGAGACTCTTGTGAGATTGGGATGTGATTGCTCGGCTTTAGTGGATTAATGCATAACTTACGATTAATTGAAGGGGAAAAAGCCAATTCCTGAAAGTGATGGCTAAAAAGCCTTAAATCATGATGTTACCATGGTTGGTTGTGTTCAAGATCCCATGGCTTCTGCATACCAGGGTTGTATATGCTTGTATGGCTCAATGAGCTTCTTGTGTGGGCTTCATCTGTCCAAATATCACTGTCATGTGGTGGTTTTGTAGGTGGGCTACATTGTCATGATCGATCCTTCTACTGGGGCTAGAACTAATTTATTGAGAATGAGAGGTGCTGGTGTCGTCGGTGTCTACCACCCTTTAATTGATGAGAAGCTTGTGAAGATTCTTCATGGGTAAATTGAATTCCATTCCATTTGCGCCTCTGTTTGTGTCTGTGTAAGTAGTGTGTAATTTTGTGTTAACATTTGATATTCTATATCTTAACAGGAGGAATAAGAAGGTGTATGCCTGGACAGTTGATGATGCAGTCTCCCTGCAGAGAATGTTGTTGGAGGAAGTAGATGCTATTGTCACAAGCAACCCCACTTTACTTCAGAGTCTCATGCAAGACACCAGGACTAAATGTCTTGAGGAGGGTTTTTCTTTGTTACAATGAGAATTGAAAAGTTTTTAAACGATTGAACTTGTACAAATTGGGAGATCTGTTTTATTTAGTTACTTATTTTTTTTCTCAACTTTGTGAATACAATGAATGCACATAACTGTATTTCTAACCAAATATTAATGAATTTTTGTAATACTAGAACCTCATCTTTCTTTCTTTACCAATCAAGTAAATGTTTGTTTCTTAGTTTACTCGACATACGTGGTGGTGTTGATTGTGTGATCAGTTTTGAATACGCCTCAACTTTCCAAATTCTGTCTTTAGATTGATCATCTATCTCATAGAGCACTGCCCTCTTAAAACATTCACATTTAGAGTTTATATGCACACCAAGTGGTTGATAAATTTGTCATAAACTCTATGATAATATGTTTCATGACATTTGCACCTTGAATGTTTATTCACATCAATATTATGCAAATGCTAATTCAAAATAGTTTGTTGAATTGAATGCATTGACGTTTAAAGGAATTCATTTATTTAAATCAATGATGATCTCACTTAGTTGCATGACTAATTCTCATGATTCAATGTATAAAATGAATTGGTCATTTGCTAAAGCAATCTACTCAAGTGTAGTTAGCTCATTGCTTTACATTCTGAATATTAAGTGATATCTACATTACAACTCACTAGAAGAGCATTCATCACAATGAATCATATTTGGCTCTAAAGTAAAGAGACAAGTAAAAGAAGCTTAGAGAAGCTAAACCGAAAAAGTTTTAGAGTTTGACAATGACCCTAATCACCCCCTTCCCCTAGGACCAATTCTTGGGTAACAACTAGACCTTTTTTAATGTATAAAGATTTAATCTTTGAAAGAAAAAGAGAGTTTTGAGTTAAATATATTCGAATTCTCTTTGAAGTCACAAAGAGTATTTAATAAGTAAAGATTGAATCTTTGAATAAAAATGTCAATCAAGGCACCTTTTAAGTCGATTGAATATTTTAATATACAAAGATTGTATCTTTGAAAAAAAAATGAGAGTTTCCAGTTAAACTTATTCGAGTTCTCTTTGAAGTCACAAAGAGTGTTTTAATGTGTAAAGATTGAATCTTTGAATGAAAATATTCCAATCAATGTACCTTTTAGGTCACTAGACCATTTTAATGTGTACGGATTGAATCTTTAAAATAAAATCAGAGTTTTGAGTTAAACTTTTTCGAGTTCCCTTTCAAGTCACAAAGAGTGTTTTAATGAGTAAAAATTGAATCTTTGAATGACAATACCTCAATCAATATACCTTTTAATTTACAAGAAACAAACATTTAAGTTAATTGTATTTGAGTTCCTTTTGAAGTCGCAAAGAGTGTTTTAATGCATAAAGATTGGATATTTGAATGAAAATACCTCAAATCAATGTACCATTTAAGTCACTACATATTTTTTAATGTATAAAGATTGAATGCTTGAAATAAAATGAGAGTTTTTAGTTAAACTTATTCGAGTTTCCATTTAAGTCACAAAAAGTGTTTTAATACTTTAAGATTGAATATTTGAATGAAAATACTTCAATAAAGGTAACTTTGAAGCCACTAGACCATTTTAATGTATATAGATTAAAAATTGGGAAAACTACACAAAAATAGAATTAAGAGTTCCTAAATAACAAATTGATCAATTTTAAAAGTTAATTTTTCACTTTGATTGAATTAAGAAAAATAATTACAAATGCATCAAGAACTATTGTTAAGGTTCAAAATACCCTTTAAGCTCTTATTCCAAAATACCAAAATATCCTTTTTAAAATTATATAATTTTATAATTTAAAAATAGATAATTTAAAACTAGTTTGACTATCATTTACTTCTATAGAGGAGATAGTTCATCTATTATTTCTATGGAGGAGATAAAATTCAAGGATTTGTCTTCCAGTAAAGGACGTTTAGACGGTTGTTCTTATAATCTCATTATAACCATCTATATATATATATATATATATATATATATATACTAATTTAGAACATAATGGTTCTTGTTTAATAAAAAAGATGCACACTTTTGTAGATGGATGTCATTTGCCTAAATAGATCAGAGAATTCATCCAAATTTGCCACAACTATTACGGATTTTTTTTTCAAGTATAAATTCATTCTTAAGTAATTTCCTTTTATCTTACAAGTATTTACTATATTATGTAAATGGCATTTTTGATCATGTCTTATCTTGGACTCCATCTCTTTAACTTATATTGATACTCTTTAACTTATAATTATAGTAATTAACATGTTTTATTTTAGCATTGGTATATGTCAAACTTTTTGTCATAATTAACACTTGTTAAATTTAGTACCTTAATATTAGCTATTAGTATTGAGCAAGGTTATAGTTTCGTATTTTTTTTTTAGTATTTTGGAAATATATGATTATAAGAAGGTTATTTTCGTATTTTACAATAAGGGCTTGGAGGATATTTTGGGTCTTAATAATAATTCTTGATGTATTTGTAATTATTTTATTTTATTCAATCAAATTGAAAAATAAACTTTTAAAATAGACTATTTTGTTATTTAGGACTCTTAACTCTACTTATGTGTAGTTTTTCCCTAAAAATTTGAAAAAAATAAGAGTTTTGAGTTAAACTTATTGAGTTAACTTAGAAGTCACAAATAGTGTTTTAATTTGTAAAGATTAAATATTTGAATGAAAATACCTCAATCATGGTAACTTTGAAGTCACTAGAGCGTTTTTAATGTATAAAGATTGAATCTTTCAATGAATATGAAAGTTTTTAGTTAAACTTATTAGAATTCCCTTTGAAGTCACAAAGATTGTTTTAATGTATAAAGATTGAATCTTTGAATGCAAATATCTCAATCAAGGTAACTTTGAAGTCACGAGAGCATTTTAATGTATAAAAGATTGAATCCTCGAAAGAAAATGAGAGTTTTGAGTTAAACTTATTCGAGTTCCCTATGAAGTAATAAAGAGTGTTTTAATGAGTAAAGATTGAATCTTTGAATGAAAATATATCGATCAATGTACCTTTTAAGTCACTAGACCTTTTTAATAAATAAAGAAAAAATCATTGAAAGAAAATGAAAGCTCTAGGTTAAACTTATTCAAATTCCCTTTGAAGTCAGAAATAGTATTTTAATGAGTAGAGATTAAATCTCTAAATAAAAATACTTCAATTAAGGTACCTTTTAAGTCACTAGACCATTTTAATGTATAAAGAATGAATCTTTGAAAGAAAATGAGAGTTTTTCGTTAAACTTTTTTAAGTTTCCTTTGAAATCTCAAAGAGTGTTTTAATGAGTAAAGATTGAATCTTTTAATAAAAATACCTCAATCAATGTTACTTTGAAGTCACTGGAGTGTTTTAATGTATAAAATATTGAATCGTTGAAAAAAAATGAGAGTTTTGAATTAAACTTATTTCTGTTCGCTCTAAAGTTACAAATATTGTTATAAAGAGTATAGAATAATTCATTGAATGAAAATATTTGAAAGAAAATGAAAATTTTGAGTTAAACATATTCGATTTCCTTTTGAAGTCACAAAGATTATTATAAGGATTAAAGAATGAATCTTTGAATGAAATACCTCAATCAAGGTACCTTTTAAGTTACTAGACCTTTTTAATGTATAAAGATTGCACCATTCAAAGAAAATGAGAGTTTTGAGTTATACGTATTCGAGTTCCCTTTGAAGTCACAAAGAATGTTTTAATGAGTAAAAATTGAATCTTTGAACGAAAATACCACAATCAAGGTACCTTATAAGTCACTAGACCTTTTTAATGTATAAAGATTGAATTTTTGTAAGAAAAAGAGAGTTTTGAGTTAAACTTATTCGAATTTCCTTTAAAGTCACAAAGAGTGTTTTAATGTGTAAAGATTGAAAATTTCAATGAAAATACCTCAATCAATGTATCTTTTAAGTCACTTGACCTTTTTAAGGTATAAAGATTAAATCATTGAAAGAAAACAAGAGTTTTTAGTTAAACTTCTTTGAGTTTCCTTTGAAGTCACAAAAAGTATTTTAGTCAGGAAAGATTGAATCTTTGAATAAAAATACCTCAATCAAGGTTAGTTTGAAGTCAGTAGAGCTTTTTAATGTATAAAAGATTGAATCTTTGAAAGAAAATGAGAGTTTTGAGTTAAACTTATTCAAGTTGCATTTGATGTCACAAAGATTATTATAATGAGTAAAGAATGAATCTTTGAATGAAAATATTTGAAAGAAAATAAGAGTTTTGAGTTACACATATTCGAGTTCATTTTAAAGTCACAAAGAGTGTTTTGATAATTAAATATTGAATCTTTGAATAAAAATATCTCAATCAATGCACCTTTTAAGTTACGTGGCCTTTTTACTGTCTAAAGTTTTAAACTTTGAAAAAAAATGAGAGATTTTAGGTAAACTTATTCGAGTTCACTTTGAAGTCACAAAGAGTGTTTTAATGAGTAAAGATTGAATATTTGAATGAAAATACTTCAAAAAATGTACCTTTTAAGTCACTATACCATTTTAACGTAAAAATATTGAATCTTTGAAAGAAAATAAGAGTTTTTAGTTAAACTTATTTGAGTTTCCTTTAAAGTCACAAAAGAGTGTTTTAATGAGTAAAGGTTGAATCTTTGAATGAAAATACCAAAATCAAAGTACCATTTAAGTCACTAGACCTTTTTAATGTATAAAGATTGGATCTATAAAAGAAATTGATAGTTTTGAGTTAAACTTATTCGAGTTCCCTTTGAAGTCAGAAAGAGTGTTTAAATGAGTAAAGATTGAATCTTTGAATGAAAATTCCTCAATCAAGATACCTACTAAGTCACAAGACAATTTTAATGTATAAAGATTGGATCTTTAAAAGAAAATGAGAGTTTTAAGTTAAACTTATTCGAGTTTCATTAATGTCACAAATAATGTTTTAATGAGGAAAGATTGTATCTTTGAAATGAAATACCTCAATCGACGTACCTTTTAAGTTACTAGACCTTTTTAATGTATTAAGATTGAATCTTTGAAAGAAAATTAGAGTTTTAAGTTAAACTTATTTGAGTAATAATGAGTAAAGATTGAATGTTTGAATAAAAATACCTCAATTAAGATTACTTTGGAGTCACTAGAGCCTTTCGATTTATAAAAGATTGAATCTTTGATAGAAAATGAGACTTTTGAGTTAAACATTTTCGAGTTCCCTTAGAAGTCACAAAGATTGTTTTAATGAGTATAGAATGAATCTTTGAATGAAAATACCTAAATTAAGGTACATTTTAAGTCACTAGACCTTTTTAATGCTTACCTATTGAATCTTTAAAGAAAATGATAGTTTTGAGTTAAACTTATTTGATTTCCCTTTGAAGTCATATTTTCTTTCAAAGAATCAATCTTTATATATTAAAAAGGTCTACTGACTTAAAATGTACCTTAATTAAACTATTTTCATTCAAATGATCAATCTTTACTCATTAAAACAATTTTTATGACTTTAAAGGAAACTCGAATAAGTTTAATTCAAAACTCTCATTTTATTTGAAAGGTTCAATATTTTATACATTAAAACGCTCTAGTGACTTTAATGTAACCTTGTTTGAGTTATTTTTCTTCAAAGATTCAATCTTTACTCATTTACACTTTGTGACTTCAAAAGAAACTCGAATAAGTTTTCCTAAAAACTCTCTCTTTTTTTTTTTTCTTCAAAAATTCAGTCTTTATACATTAAAAAGGTGTAGTGAATTAAAAGGTAACTTAACTAGGGTATTTTCATTCATAGATACAATATTTACTTTTTAAAACACTCTTTGTGACTTCAGAGGGAACTCAAATAAGTTTAATCCAAAACACTCATTTTTTTTTCCTTCAAAGATTCAATCTTTAAACATTAAAAAGGTCTAGTGACTTAAGAGGTACTTTGATTAAGGTATTTTCATTCAATGATTCTATCTTTGCTCATTAAAACACTCTTTGTGACTTCAAATGGAACTCGAATAAGTTTAACTCAAATATCTCATTTTCTTTTAAAGAATAAATCTTTATACATTAAAATGGTCTAGTAACTTAAGACGTGCCTTTATTGAGGTATTTTGAATCAAATATTCAATCTTTACTCATTAAAACATTCTTTGTGACTTCAACAGGAACTCGGATAGTTTAACTAAAAACTCTCATTTTTTTTTTCAAAGATTCAATCTCCATACATTAAAACGGTCTAATGACTTAAGTGGTACATTGATTGAGGTATTTTCTATCAAAGATACAATCTTTACTTATTAAATTAACACACTTTGTGACATCAAAGGCAACTCGAATAAGTTTAATACAAAACTCTTATTTTCTTTATTTATACATTAAAAAAGTCTAGCGACTTAAATGCTACCTTGATTGAGGTATTTTCATTGAAAGATTCAATATTTACTCATTATAACACTTATTGTGACTTCAAAGGGAACTTGAATAAGTTATCTGGAAACTCTCATTTTCTTTTAAAGATTCAATATTTATACATTAAAAGATCAAGTGACTTAAAGGGTACCTGATTGAGGTATTTTCATTCAAAAATACATTATTTACTCAATAAAATACTCTTTGTGAATACAAAGGGAACTTGAATAATTTGGACCCAAAACTCATATTTTCTTCCAAAGATTCAATCATTATACATTAACTTAAATGGTACATTAATTAAGGTATTTTAATTCAAAGAGTTAATCTTAAATTATTAAAACAATTTTTGTGACTTCAAAGAGAATTTGAATAATTTCAACTAAAAACTCAAAATTTTTTTCAAAGATTCAATCTTTATACGTTAAAAAGGTCTAGTGACTTAATAGGTACCTTGATTGAGGTATTATTATTCAAAGATTCAATCTTTACACATTAGAATACTCTTTGTGACTTCAAAGTAACCTTTATTGAGACATTTTTATTCAAAGATTCAATATTTACTCATTAAAACACTCTTTGTGACTTCAAAGGAGTCTCGAATAAGTTTAACTCAGAACTCTCATTTTTCTTCAATGATTCAAACTTTATACATTAAAAAGGTCTAGTGACTTAATAGGTACCTTGATTGAGGTATTTTCATTCAACGATACAATTTTTACACATTAAAATACACTTTTGTAACTTTAAACGAAACTCGAAAAGTTTAACTCAAAACTCTCATTTTCTTTCTATGATTCAAACTTTTATATATTAAAAAGGTCTAGTGACTTAAAAGGTACATTGATTGAAGTATTTTCGTTTAAAGATACAATCTTTCCTCATTAAAACACTCTTTACGACTTCAAAGGGTACTCGAATAAGTTTAACTTAATACTCTCATTTTCTTTCAAAGATTCAGTCATTATATATTAAAACGGTCTGGTGACTTCAAAGGTGCCCATATTAAGGTATTTTCATTCAAACAATCATTCTTTACTCATTAAAACCCTCTTTGTGACTTCAAAGGGAACTCGTATAAGTTTAACTAAAAACTCTCATTTTCTTTCAACTATTCAATCTTTATACATTAAAATGGTCTAGTGACTTGAAAGGTACCTTAATTAAGGTATTTTCATTCAAAGATACAATATTTACTCATTAAAACAATCTTTGTGACTTCAAAGGGAACTCGAATAAGTTTAACTCAAATGTGTCATTATCTTTCAAAGATTCAATCTTTATACATTAAAAAGGTCTAGTGACTTAAAAGGTATTTTGATTGAGGTAATTTAATTCAAAGATTCAATCTTTACTCATTAATACATGCTTCGTGACTTCAAAGGGAACTCTAATAAGTTTAATTCAAACCTCTCATTTTCTTTCAACTATTCAATCTTTATGTATTAAAAAGGTCTAGTGACTTAAAAGGTACATTGATTGTGTTATTTTCATTCAAAGATTCAATCTTTACTCATTAAAGCAAAAACATAAACAAGGTCTCTAGGGATATACAACATCCCTAGGACTCCAAAGTGACCTTCCATTAAGCCACGGAACTCCACGAGAACCAACGCGGAAAAAAAGAATAGAAAAAGACCAAAAGAAGCCCCCAAGGGCAAAATGGCCCTTTAACATGGAATCAACGTCTCAAGAAATGTACATCAATCCAAAGATATGTCTATGACTTCCCAAAAGTCACGGAATCCAAAAGAAAGCAAGCGGAAGCAATATAAAAAGGAAAACCGGACAAGTTTGGCCTCAAGGCCAAACTGGTAATTTTACAAAAATATCCAAGTGTAACCAAGTACACCAATGGATTGATAACGAAAAATTAATCAAGTTAGACTCAAAAATAGCTTGATTCAAATTCCGGACGAAGAAAATATGGCCTTACGACGAAAAACGGACAAATAATGCCCTAGGGGTAAACTGGTAATTTTTTAAAAATATATAAGTGTAACCGAGCACATCGTTGGATAGATGACGAAAAATTAATAAAGTTAAAAAAAAAAATCACTTGAATCAGAGTCCGGACGAGAAAGAAAAGCCCAAAAGAAGAATCGACGTTGCGGCCCGACAAGGGGGCCATGACGGCCCCCATGCGCTTGCAAGGGGCATGCTGCGTGCGCCATGGCAGCCCCTTAACATGCCATGCTGATAGCATGCATTTTTTTTTACAGCTTTTTGCTGTTCAATGGCCGTTTCAGACCCTTAGATGCATTTTTTTGGAAACATACGAAGAAGAAACCCACCATAAAATCGAGTTTTCTAGCCAATCATGTCGAAAGAAAATTTTAAAACTCGTTGTGAAACGCCAAAAATACCCCTAGATCAGATTAGGTCAAAAACAATAAAAATATAACTTTGCACCAAGTGTTCATTTGACCCTAAATGGTGTTGTGTGCTAAAAAGATTATGCATGTAAACGTATTTAGTGATTTTAAGAATGCAAGAATGGTTCGTGGGTCCCATAAATGCCTGATGCAAAATACGACCTATCCGAACCTCAAAAATGCCAAAAATGGACTTTTAAAGAGAAATTTGAAACTTAAAATTATAAAATGGTTTCAAATGACCATTTGGCCCTTGGCCAAACTTCATGCATGATTGAAGAGACCCTATGGAAGTGTTAAAACCCACTTCCCACCGCCCATGCAAATGTAGTGACCTTAAAACATGGCATTTTTTATTTTTCAACAAAATCACTTAGAAATAAAAGTACATAGAATGCAAAATAAATGTCACTACAACAGTTCTGGCTTTTACCAACACTCAAAATGGCTGGTAAAAGTCATAAAAAGTACTGGTAATTCAATTACCAACGCTTTACCAGCGCTTTTCCAAAAGCGCTGGTAAAGCCTGTGTCAGTAGGCCTTTACCAGCGCTTTTCTAGGAGCGCCGGTAAAGGCCTTTTACTAGCGTTTTTCCAAAAAGCACTGGTAAAGGCTTTTCCCAGCGCTTTTCCAAAAAGCGCTGGTAAAAGGCCTTTCCTAGCGCTTTTCCAAAAAGCGCTGGTAAAGGGTCATTTTAGTTTTTTTAAAATTTTTTTTTTTCCTCCCCCCCCTATGCCAGCGCTTCTTAAAAGAGTGCTAGTAAAGGGTCATTTTATATTTATTTTTTTTCTCCCCCTTTATTGTTTTTGAAAAAAAAAAATCATCCAATATAACATCAGTCAATATAAAAATACTACCCAAATTATTTTTACATAATACAACCATAAGTTAACCTGCTGCCAATATGAAAAATACCATCGAAATTGGCTACTAATAGATGAAGCTAGTAAATGCCAACCAAAAAGCCAAAATGTATACTAATACAACCACAAGTTAACCTGCCAATATGAAAATACATCCAAATTGTCTAGATAAAGATACTAAATGTCACACAAAAAGAATTAAGTATTTTTGACAAATGTAGTACAAGTTTTTCAAAAAGAACCCATCCAAGGCGAAGGAAAAGACTGAAAGCACAGCCACGACCCCATCTTCAGCTTCAACTTCAACTTCAACAAGTCTTCTTCTTGCCCATTTGATTTGAATTACCCTACATTTTTTATAAATTCATTAAGCGCACATTATAATAAATGAAAATTTAACATATAAGAGAAATTAAAAGTTCATAACCTTAACTGAATTGGCATCACGACTAGAAAATGAATTTGGGGATACTCTAGGAGGAGCATTTAAAGAATCAAAACCCTTCAAAATAACAAAACAAAATACATGAAATCTTAGCATAAGTAAACATATATTTAGTAAAGACTAGTAACATTTATGAGAAATTTTCTGAGGAATTTGGGAAGATCAATGAACATTACATATAAACACATAAAAATTTTAAGATCCCATGTCTTCATATATACACATAAACACACTAAATTTTTTTATAAATCAACAAATATTAGTTCAAATGAAATAATTATTATATAGTTCAAAGATGATCACCAACGAACAAATAAGTATAAATTTCAGTTAGCTTTTTTTATTATTTATTTTTCTGAATTGTTGTTATTGTACTCTTCTTGATCTATAATATTCAGGATCTGAAAATGCTAATTGGCTATGTGTTTCTGAAAATATGTAGACTTGCAATTGAAATGCTGCATTTGATTCGTGAAAGAGTTAGTTGACCTTATATTGAGGAGTTTTGTTGCGCCAATCTGTCACATTTTGATCAGATTTTTACTTTTCTTATTTTTTCATGTTGTTTGTACTTGTAGGAAGCCAAATAGATTTTGTTTTTTTATTTGTACTTTTCAGTCTTTTATTGGATGCTTAGTATTGAAATAGTTAGGTTTTGCCATTTGGCTCATATGTCCTTAACATTCCCAAAAACTCTCACCAGAACTAAGTAACAGTATAATTTTCTTCCAAAACCTGCATAAACTTTGTGTTTTTTTTTTTTCCCCTTTTCAGTTTTTGCGGTTGAACCCACAAATTTATAGACTTATTATATATATTTGGTGAGTAATAATAGATTTAAAATGGCAAAGTTAAGGACAACTGAATATGATTTCAATGAAAGTATATTTGACCAAGAAAATGAATGCTCACTAAGAGACTTATCAACTTAGTGAATACAATATAGAGTAGATCTATTATGCACGTAACTTAGACAATCGGATACTTAATTAAAAAGTAAACAGTACAGCAATTCATGGTGAGTCGACAACCTTCAAAGAAAAACAAAAAGTTTGAATGACATACCTTATCTAGGTAAAGGCCAATTGTGTAGTATAATATTGTTTTACAACAAACTTGAATGATCCTGTTAGCTTAGCCAAATCTGATTAATCAAACTATTCATAATCAGATTTTTTCATTTATAGCCTTATTATACTCTAGCTCCATGATAATGCGACAATCTCCTATGGGAAGTTTAGAAATTTAAGATGAGTATTAACACCTAAATCCTTCTGTCAACTACTACTACAATTAGTTATATATTTGCAAAATTGAGTTGTAAAATTGAAAATTAAGATGAGTAATTGAAAATTAGGTTATATGAGAAAAGGAGAAAGTGTAAAGTACACTTTATGATGCTTTAGCTTTTCCATATTTATGATGGTTTACTTACGCAACTCAGCTCAAACCTGAATCCCCATTACTTGAGTTCAGCTATGAGGATTTTTCTTTTCCAGTTGGTTTTTAGTATTGATGCTTTACTTATATTATCTATAAATCCCGTAAATCATTTAGCAGTCTATCTAATATTGAGTAGTAGACGATACACCTCAGTCTACCATTTAATCAGTTGAGTCTAATCACATCAACTGCCAATTTACTTTGACCATACAATTGAGGGTGTAATGGTTGTCAGAATACATTAACATAATTTGGGTTAATTAAACATGATTATAAACGTGTCCAAGACCCATAAGTTGCAAATGTAAAGAATATATTAACATAATTTCAGAACAAATTTCAAAAGTAAGTTAACTTACAGAAGGTGTAAAACCATCAAATGGGATCTTCCCCACCTTTGAATCTGCTAGGAGTTCTCTGGCAGTTTTGATATATGATGCCAACCCACCAGGATAGTTTGCATTAAGTCGAGCAACCTAAAAGAAACAGCTATAGTTTATAAAATTTTAAAAATAAAATAATAAGGTATGGGAACAATACTTCTAACATGAATTCAAGTGAAATGTTACGCCACAGAGATAAAGATTGGAACAATACTTCTAACATGAATTCAAGAGAAATGTTACGCCATGGAGATAAAGGTGAGGCAGATTCAAAAGGGAAGATAAAAGTCAAACAGTACAACCTAAACTTCAATTAATTGTAATATTAAAATTTCTCTTCTTAAAAGTAGCTATGGAGGCTCATTATAAAATTTTAAGTACAACTGTATTAATTGCCAGATTTAGAATAGAGAAAGTCTATGATGAGGGCATAAACTCACAGTAACAGCGCCCTTATTATAGCTTTTACCTTCGAAAAAATCCAGACTTTTCTATTCTTATGCTTGTTTTCAAACTGAATTACTGAATTTTTTCACCAGTATCCCCGGTTTTAATCCAAAAAGTATGTATATATTCATAACTCAACATAATTTATGATATCATATAGAGAGAGAAGAATTGATATTGCATAACAAGAATGATCTGCAAAATTGTTCACATTGACATTGCATCAATTCAAATATAGAAACCTTCATATACCTGATCAAAGAAAACTAGCTTCTCATCATCATCGACGCCAGGCTCAGGCCAATGCTAGAACAGATGGCTCTGTCTGACCTCCAACAGCAACTTCGCAACCTCAACCTACCACACAACATCATGTATTCCAATCAAATGCAGAAACTAAAAAAATCAAACCATTTCAATTATATATATATATGAACCTGGTCAGGGGAGAGTTGGGGGAGGTTTTTGAGGAGATTCGAGCCGAAGATGCCAAATCGCCATTGATATCAAGCTCGGAGGCCATTACATAAAGTGAATCAAATGATTTGTAGAGATTTTCTTAGCAACGAAGCGATCAATGAAGCCACAGAGAAGAACAATGGTGGCGAACAAGTATAGGCCGACGTTTATGTACTCGGACCGGTTTCGAGCCAGCTGGGGTCCGTATATGTTTACGATTGGAGGCAAAATTGCTGAGAGAGAGGGATGGTTGAGGAGGAGGGGCACGTGTCATCACGATTGGGGAGTTGCAGAGAGAGAAGGGGGGCGCAAGTTCAGAGTTGAGACCGAGAATAGAGATTGAAGCAATTGGGGAGTTACAGAGAGAGAGAGATGGAGGCGACTAGGGAGTTGCAGAGAGAGAGGGGGGCAAGTTCAGAGTTGAGACCGGGAATAGAGATGGAGACGATTGGGGAGGATAAAGAGAAACTAGGGTTTGGATGAAATTGGTAAAGTTAGAAATAAAGTGAAAATTAAAGCGCCAAAGTTTTCCGCACTACATTTCGCATTTACCAGCGTTTGTTTAAAAAGCGCTGGTAATTAGTACTTAACACTAGCGGTTTTTTTAGAAACGCCGGTGTTAATAGTACTCAACACCAACGTTTTTCTTAAAGCACTAGTAATTTATACTCAACATCAGCGCTCTTTAAAAAAGCGCTGGTAATTAGTACTCAATACCAGCGCTTCTAAGAAAGCGCTGGTAATTTGTACTCAACACCAGCGCTTTTAAAAAGCGCTGGTGAAACCCTAATATGTTGTAGTGTGTCCTTGGCCCATGGCATCATTACATACAAGTCAAATACATCACTAAAAGTGTACTTACGTACACGTTACATATTTAGAACCAAATATACAAGTTTGACATATAAAGCTACAAATAGCATTTTTTGCCAACATTTTCATGAAATAAATACTTCAAGTCTACAAGACATCCCAAAGCAAATGTAAAGCCCCAAGTCTTGAATCCTGTGCTTGAAAAATGGTCCCACTACGTGGGTGAGTAACATAAAGCTACTCGTAGAAGATGAGCATACATAAACCTAACGTTTTACAAACTTATTAAGTTGATATAAATCCATTCATACGGTTATGCCACCTAGCGTCCATGTCAAAGGTGAGACTCAGGGAGTATCCTAAGTTATCTTAGAGCACTTTTAATATAAACCACATCATTTATGCAAGTTAACAACATAGGAGCATATAGTACAACGCAACAAGACATAGGTATTCAAAGTTATCAACTTGTAACCTAAAATGCGAAAACAACCGAAACAGTTCATACCACCTAACGTCTATGTTCTAAATGAGTCTAAGGAATCATCCTAAGCTACATTAAACAATTAATACCCAAATTACATTATCAATGCAATTTTAATTAACATTAGAATTTCTAATACAACGCATCAAGGAATAGATTATCAAAGTTAACAACTCGAAATCTAAAATACGGAAACAACAAGTTATAACAAATTAGTACTATTAACTCGTATTGAAAAGTAAGGCATGTAAGTATACTAAACACATGTATATTACACCTAATCGAAATGTCAAACACCATATCACAAACTATAAATAATCCATATTAAACAACTTAGAATTGAATGTGAAATCAAGTAGTGGCGAAAAGACAAGGACATACGGCCTCAATGACGAAGCAAGCTGATCTCGGGTTACTAGCACGCACGGTACTATCTAGCGCGCACTAAACCCAGAATCAAACCGTATATTGGTATTTTAGGGTTACTAGCACTCAGGGAACCACCCAATGCGCACTAAATGTTATAGGGGGAGTTCTCATCCCTCGTACTTGAGCCGTGCCATAGCCGTAACATATTACAATACTTTGGAAGCTTTCCCAAAATCAACAAGTTGTGCATCAAGGCATAATACATATACACAATATTTTAGTCAACTACCATGCACAAACAAGTCAAGTAAAACACACAATATTCATCCTATGTCTTTAAGCTACAATAGCATATGACATGTCAAATGCATAATGTGTATATAAGCTAATTAAATTATAACTTCTACTCATGGAATACTATAATGTAATCATACAACAAGTTCCAAATTTACAAGTTAAGCATGGAAACAGCTTCAATACCTAACTACCTCAATGGAAGCATATAATGGGATTTAATTAAATAAAATAATTAAATTCTCAAAATTACAAAGTAACTCCAAATATTCTAAAATTAATATAAGTTAAACGTCATGACAAGGCCTAGTTTAATATCACATTACAAGTTATTTCTACCTAACTTACAACTAGGTAGATTAAACTTCATACAAGAAAATAATTAAATAAAGTTCTCCATACTTATTCAAATATTCTTATTTTCATATATGTTAATGAACATATTAAGGCCTAATTTAATATCACATTGTAAGTTCATTCCATACTAGGTACAACCATGTGAATTAAATTCCAAACAAAGAAAATAATTAAATAAAAGTCTCAAAACCTATTCAAATATTCTCAATTTAACGTATATGATAGAATGTGCCAAGCTCATCAACAATATCAAGTTAAAAATCCAATTAAGTGTGTAGAACACTTAAAAATAAAATTAATTAACCTAATTAATTAATTTTCTTTAGATTTTAAAACAACTCTAAATATTCTCAAATTCACATATGTTAAAGAACATACAAATGCCTAATTTAATATCACATTGTAAGTTGATTTCATACTAGTTACAACCATGTGAATTAAATTTTCATACAAGTGAAAGATTAAATAAAAGTTTCAATACTTATTCAAATACTTTCAATTTAATATATGTTAACTAGCACATCAAGACCTAATTTAATAGCATGCCACAATTTAATTCCAAACAATATACAACCATGAGAATTAAATCTTATACATAGAAAATAATTAAATTAAATTCTAGATAAAATACTTAGGCATGCATACAAGTTGTATAAGCATGAAATACCTTCAATACAATATTTATACAAACCTAAAACATCCCCTACCTCGATTTGAGATGAAAATCTCAAATCCCCACTGAAAGAAAAGTGCTCCGAATCCGATGATTCTCCTAGGTTATGTCGGGGACAACGAGGGAAGTAACTTTAACCTTTGAGGCTCCACCAAAATTCAATCCCAAACTCAAAACCTAAACTCAAAAATGGTCATAAATGGTTTCTAATAAGGGGGAAAGGTGTGCCTCACCAAGGCCTTCGATAAATGCTAAGGCTCGAGGCAAATAACAAAGGAAAGTGAATAGAGAAGAAGAAAGAAGGTGGCAGCCCAAGGGGCTGCCATGGCTGCTGGCCAAAGAAGGGAAGAAGATGGTGAAAATTTAATTTTTCACTTTAAGTCATTCTATTTATAGTAAAACCCTAAAAGTGCCTCGAAAGGGCCCCGTAGGGTCCGGAAAAGTAGAATTCGCGCAGACGCGCTCAAACGGTAAAACACCGTGAACAAAAAAGAACCGAAATGAAAAAAAAAAATTGAACAATGGAAGAAACAGTATCAAAAACTAAGTCCTGTGCAGGAAGATATACCCCGAACAAGTTCGGCGGCAACTAGGGCCGAAAACTCTAAAATTGGGAAAAACGACCAGAAAGAAATTCTAAGAGTACACGACTCGATGAAAAGTGAAAATGAATCCTGTATGAGGATCCAGGCTCAAAACAAGATATTTTACAATAACTTTTGTTAATTACATAATGGCCCCTATAAAAAGGGATAACTGCAAAACTGCCCAGAATGAAAATATCTTCTAAAAGATATTTTCTTAAAAACCCCTAATCAAAATATCTCTAAAATATATTTATGAAAAACACCCCAAGAAACATCAATGTTTCTGAAAAATCCTTTCATCCACGCCCCTACGGGAGAAAGAAACAACCGACGAGCTTTTCTCCAAAAGTAAAGCTATGTGTTTTGAGGAAATCAACTGGAGTAAAAACTCGTGAAGTCAAAACTCAACTACGAACATGGAAAGTGAGGTTGTTCCAACAAAGTGACAAATGAAAAAAGGACGAAAAGTGAATAGTATCCAAAAAGTGAAAATGTGAAAATAACTCGGTCCTTAAAGGAAGCTGTCAATCTAAAGGAAAAAGTCTCGGAAATTATTTTTGAGTACTCGAGATGACACTAAGTGATGAGTAACCAAACTCAGAAAAGAAAATTCAACGAAAAAAATTCATCTGTAAAATTTGAGAAAAAGAAAGGAAGAAAAATGACAGGGTCATTACAAAAACAATCTTCTTGATTTCAAAGGGAACTTGAAAAAGTTTTAACTAAAACTCTCATTTTCATTCAAATATTTTTATTTAAAGATTCATTCTTTACTCATTATAACAAAATTTGTCACTAGACCTTTTAATGTATAATGGTTTAATCTTTGAGGGAAAATTAGAGTTTTGAGTTAAACTTTTTCGAGTTCCCCTTAAAGTCACATAGAGTGTTTTAATGAGTAAATCTTGAATCATTGAATGAAAATACCTCAATCACGGTACCTTTTTTGTCGTTATACCATTTAAATGTATAAAGATATTAAATCTTTGAAAGAAAATGGGAATTTTGAGTTAAACTTATTCTGAATACCTTAGAAGTCACAAAGAATGTTTTAATGTGTAAAGATTGAATCTTTACATGAAAATACCTCAATCAAGGTACCTTTTAGTTCACTAAACCTTTTTAACATATAAAGATTAAATCTTTGAAAGAAAATGAGAGTTTTTGGTTAAACTAATTCGAGCTCCCTTTGAAGTCACAACTACTGTTTTAATGAGTAAAGATTGAATATTTGAATGAAAATATCTCAATCAAGGTATCTTTAAATTCAATAGACCTTTTTAATGTATAAAAGTTGAATCTTTAAAATAAAATAAGAGTTTTGAGTTAAACTTATTCGACTTCCCTTTAAATTCACAGAGAGTGTTTTAAGGAGTAAAGATTTATTCGAGTTCCCTTTCAATTCACAGAGAGTGTTTTAAGGAGTGAAGATTAAATCTTTGAATGAAAATACCTCAATCAAGGTATCTTTTAAGTCACTAGACCTTTTTAATGTATAAATATTGAATTTTTGAAAGAAAAAAGAGAGTTTTGAGTCAAACTTACTCGAGTTCTGTTTAAATTCATAAAGAATGTTATAATGAGTAAAGATTGAATCTTTGAAAGAAAATGAGAGTTTTTTTTATCAAACTTATCCAAGTTCCCTTTGAAGTCACAAAGAGTGTTTTATTGAGTAAAGATTGAATCTTTGAATTAAAAAACCTCAATCAAGGTACCTTTTAAGTCACTAGACCTTTTTAATGTATAAAGATTGAATCTTTAAAAGAAAATGAGAGTGTTTAGTTAAACTTATACGAGTTTCCTTTGAAGTCACAAAGAGTGTTTTAATGAGTAAAAATTCAATTTTTGAAAGAAAATACTTCATTCAAGGTACCTTTTACGTCACTTGACCTTTTTAACGTATAAAGATTGAATCTT